CCTGCCCCTCCACTTCCTGCTTAGTGTCGACCAATGACTGCTTGGTGCGGACAGTCAGGCATCACCACATGTCATGTCATTGACTAATGAGATGTGACTTTGGAAAAGAAGAAAGTAAAGCTTCTCCAGCTCTCAGGCAGGAACCGGATGCCATCGTTCAATTCAAAGATCTGGCTCTAAGAGCTATTTCATTCATTCATTCATTCATTCATTTCCCTTCTGAGAAGTGAGAAGTGTACTCGTGTCAGGGGCGCAGCAGAGGGAGCCACTCTGAGCTCCATGTATGTTTGCATTGCAGGTCACATTATTAGTAGAGCTCTTTGTGTGAGTAAGGGGATGTGGGTAAAACCTTGGATTTAGTTTTTTTCTAACTCAAGTCCAAGTTACACAAACAAACACAAACAACAAACTATATCCTGTTCAGATAGGACTTGTTGGTGGAGACCACAGAGCCAAGCAACAGCCTAATTGAAATGTAGTTCAACAGCACAAAAACTTTAGGCTTTAGGGTAATATGTCAGAATTGCAATAAAGGCTGAAGATCTGACGATATTCCAGAGTTACAAAGCTAAAAACCGGACAAGAAACTGTGTCCTTTTCAGATAGTCCAAGACAGAAGATATGTTTGCTTTTATTTTCCACTCCATCTCAAACTAAAAGAAATTTTCCATTTCACCAAAGACATACAAATGTGCTGCTAAATACAAAAACCAAAAAGGAAAATCCAAAAGATTCCTACTAGCAAAATAAATGAATAAAAAGATTCAAAACTCCCAGTTATTCGTGTCCATATTTCCTTTTGCGGAAAGAGTTATGCAAAATTCTGAAAACATGGTGGCAGGTGTCTTTGGGATTTTGCATAGCTCTGTTTCCTTGTTATCAGTTCCTCTTTGACTACATCAAACAACAGCAACTTGTTTACCTGACTGCACATTTATCGTCATCATCACTTGCTCAGTACACACCCGAGCAAGCAAGCTTGCAGCATGGCACAACTCAACTCCACCAATATTATCTATAACATCTCCTCCTGTCCTGGATATTCACCTAATTTCTTCTTGGAACCCAGGAATCTACTTCCTGTGGTGGTGCTGTCCACCTGCTTTCTGCTGGGATTCCCTGGAAACATTGCTGTCATCATTCTCAAGCCAAACTGGGAGAACATGTCCAATCTGACCCAGAGTTTGATGCTGAACCTGGCTGTGTCAGACCTGCTCTGCTTGGCTACCCTCCCAATATGGATTTACTACTTTGTCTGTAGCTGGACCTTAAGCCTGGCGGGCTGCAAGCTCATAACATACCTCATGTACTGCAGCGTTTATGGCAGCCTGCTGACTGTGACTGTGATGAGTATCCAGCGTTACCTTCAGGTCGTTCACCTGCAGAGGAGTTTTCCTCAGGTAGGAGCAAGCTTGCTGCTGGTTCCGCTCTGGCTGTCTGCAATGATCCTGTCCATTCCTGCTTTAGTGGTTCGACAGCTGGTAGAACAACCACATTGGTTTTATTGCAAACATCAATACTTCTCAGAGGGCCAGTCAATAGCTGTGTTGTTGACAGAGATACTGGTTGGTTTTGTTTTATTTTCTATCATTGTTTTTTCATACACCAGTATCTACAGAAAGGTGAATCGGGCAGCTTTCTTCAACAATCAACAGACCACGAGAGTGATTACCAGCATCATTGTGACCTTTTTTGGCCTATGGATGCCATATTTAGCCATAAATGTGATAGCAGTGGCAGCTATTTCCCTAAAAAATAAGAGCCTGCTGAAGTTTTGTGAAGACACCTGGAACGCTGTTGGAACACTAACATTTCTAAGTAGTACCATGAATCCACTCCTGTACACATTTACTTCTATTCATTTGTCCACTCTGGGCCAAAGAATTGGTAACCAGTTAAGAAGGACGTTCAGAAATCGGTCTCAGTCAAGAACTGTCACTGCAGGAGCAGCACCTCATTGATATACGCTCCCTGAGAAATGATTTTTACTCTGAAAACAGACAGTGTGTGGTCATCTCTATTTGTCACAGCAAGCTGTTGCGATTGGTCAGATAATGGACTTACTCGTTGAGCTGGTTCTCAACCAGAGAATTCAAACAGCATTAAAAAAAAAAATCAAAGTACCTATTAAATGACATCTAATTACATATAATTTCCCTTAGCTTATATCATACTCTCTAAAATATTTTTTCACCTGCTATGAAGGCTATGAGGCCCATTAACTGACTCTTATCAACTGTCATAACTCTTATGATCATAGTTCAGATTGGACTTTAGATTAGTTGTTAGCCAGAGGACCTGTGTAGCATGTCTCCAGCTACATGAATTCCTAAACCCTAACCTTAACCAAGCAAACTACATCCAGCTACTCCAAAGAAGCCTGCTGAGACAACTAAGCCCCTCAGGGCTGCTACTACTATTGGTTTGTGGATTGATGTTGAAATATCAATTATAATACCAGATATTTATGTTCTAGAAATATCCTAATTTCGACTGTCTAAATGCATCACCGCTTATGTGTGCTCACTCAAAATGTGGAGCTGCTGGCAATATGTAGCACTGTAGCTGAATTTTGGAAAATAACTTGCATCTAGGTTTAGGTTTTAATATTTGTGTTTAAATGAGGGAATTCCCCACATCCTTAAAACCACAGATTTCCTTTTTTTTTTCTTTTTCTTTCTTTCTTTCTTTCTTTCTTTCTTTTTTTTAAATTGTAGAGCATTAAAAGTGGATTGTGTAGACTAGGTATCTTTAAAACATACAGGGCACTCTCAGTAAAACAACTGCTATAGGCTTGAAAAATCCCAAAATACAACGCAAAATATTTTGTAGATAAGATAGCTTTAAAATAATATGGATCTATAAAATCTAAAAAGATGTTTCTCAGCTGTATTATTATTTTAATTCAGTCACATTTGTTTTGGATTGGTAATTGAATATTTTAAAATATTTTTTTTTATTTCTTCTATGATAATTATTCATAATTAAACAATAAGAACAAGAAGTCCCATGTCTTGTATTCATTAGAAAAGTTACAGTTTGAAATACACTACTTTTGATTTTCCAAACACAAGTTGTTGTACTTGTACTGGCATCAGATCAGTACCATCGATACAGCCTGAATTTGACTTGCTATTAGATCGGAATGGAAATCAGTCACATCGTACATCACTAATACATATCTATGACAGTGACAACAGCTCATACTTACCATTCAGCAAGTTCATGACAATCAAAGCAGATTCTCCATATTTTTAATTTTCTTCTTTTTCGATTTTAGAGGCTTGTGTAGATTCTGAGTTAATGTAATTTTTTTTTCACCGCAAACCAGTTATAAAGTGTAGTATACAGTATAAAGTAATTTGAGACAACTGCTCCTGTGATTTGGTGACATATAAATAAAACTGCATTGAAACTAAACAGAGGAGGAAACAACAATTAATGAAAAAAATGAATAAATGTTTGTTTTGGAGCTCCTCCTTCACCAGAATTAACCATCTTTCTCCATTCTTAACAACAGAAAGAGTTAGAAATAGACAAGAAGAAGGGCAGAGAGGGTGCTGCACTGACACTACAAGTCTATAAATCATGTCATCAATTCAGTTCAGTTTTATTTACATAATGCTAAATCACAATAACACTCACCTCAAGGCGCTTTATATTGTAAAACCCTGCAATTATACAGAGAAAACATCAACAGACAACAAGTATTAGTATTAGCTTGGTGGCACTTTGTAGCCTAAGTGTCAAACATCCCATCTCTAATCTTTTCATTTTACCTTTGCCTTTACATCCTGCATTTGGGCCCTCACTTCACACACCCGATTACATGACACAAAGTCAAGTAACTTAGCTACAAATACTGTACTAGTATATGATTAATATAATATTTCCCAAAAATGAAATAGATGATTAACAGATAAAAATCAGTTAGAATTACTTTAATCATTTTTATTGATGTAAATATTAATAATTTCCTTCCCCGGTTCAGGTGGTTGTAATGTCACTAGTTTATATACTATTGCATAGTTTTACTTTTGCAACACCTATGTAGCGTCTCAACTTTTAAAGTATGAACTGTACCTGTTACAAAGTAACTGTGTGTGCTTCATATTATTTTATACAGGCTAAAGTCATTCAGCATGGAGCCTCCCTGAGAAGTAAATTTGTAATCTTTTCAAAGTTTACTTTCAGCTTTTACTTTTTTATTTATGATTTTTTGTTTTCATCACTCTGTGATTATAGTTCCTGGAACTTCTGAATAAAGATCACCATTGTTCTTCCACTTCCACTGATATTTGGTTCATCCATCTGTATATCCTTTTTTTTCAGGCCATCCAGGGGCCCTTTATGTGTGGGTGTATGTTTAAGTAAAAAGGGTAACGTAAAGTAACTCTGTTGGTCTTGCCCTTAGAATCAGAAGAAATGCAATCTTGTACGCTCCCTCGGGCTTTCTGAACAGCTGTCACCACTGTTAAAAAAATGGTCCACCCAAAGAGTCAGAACTACTGCAGGAGAACCTTTGGTCACCAATCATCCTTCCAATGCCAAGATGACTTCTTCCATGTACCTGTAAAATCATTCCTGTATCAATGCACTAGAAGAATACTGATAAAAGGATGCACTGTTACAATAATTCATGCTAAAAGAAATATTATACATCAAACTTATAGTAATTA